CACCACTATAAATTATGCCATTCTTTACTTGTCTATAATAGTGACAAAAATAAAGTTGGTATACCAAATACATTTTTTTTTTTGTCCATAACCGGAGTGCAGCCCAACTAATTCCTGGGATCCTTTTAAGGCGGTCCATGATACGAATCGGGTAAAGTTCGGACATAGTCCGTAGACGTAGCCCTTAAGAAATTATTTGTACTTAAGAAGAATTGATTCTAAGACCAATCTGATTCTTCATGAGATATCAGGGTCCAAGTCTTTTCTAACTAGGCCAATCCATGGAGGTTTATAACAAGTGGTACCTCTTCCAACCACGTATCGGGAGGATTACAAATTTTTCTACCTCATTTTAGTGCAACTTCGCAATAGGGGGTGGGATTTGATATAACGATAAAATTCTTCCATCGTTAGGTGAGAAAGTTATGATAGTAGTGTTTTTATACGAGAAAGTTATGATAGTGGAGTGTTTTTATATAAACTCTCTCTCACATATTCCATTGTACTGAAAGTTTATCTTTAGTTGAATGAAAACCATCTCATTTCAAAGAAGAAAAAAAAAATCTCATTTAAGGAAAAAAAAAAAAAAAACATCACTCAAATACGTGGTAGAAAGATTTTCAGTCCTCCTAATACGTGGTTGGTTGGAAGAGGTACTTGGTATACCAACTTTCTTTTTGCCACTATTAATATAGACAATTAAAAGAATGGCATCATTTATATCCATAGTGGTACCTATAAATACGACTCTAGACCTCTATTTTTCTACACATCATATCAGTCTATATGACTTGTACATTACATCAAATTAGTATAATGTCTGTCAATATTTTAAATAAGTTCCCTCAATTTAATTTCTCCAAATAAAATGATTTGAGTTCCATCCCAAACTATCATGCACGACAAACTCAACATATATCAGAATTTATATATATATATATATGTAAGTAGCATTTATTTTTGTGAAGAGCGTCTCTAGCTATGTATTTTAGGCTGAACTTCACAATAGAAAACTTTACAATGGTTGAAGAATAAGAAACTCAAAACGAAAGAGCAAGTCTGTTATGAAAGTTTTCTCATCATAAGCTTCCCTTCGCAAGCGTAACTAGTTCGTGATAGCATCTTCATAACTTGTCGAACTAATGGTTGAGATCAAACACCAAAGGCGGAAAGAGGGGTGGGCAAAGGTGGCCTACAGCCCACCTAAAAAAAAAAGTTTTTTTACTATACTAAAATTAGCCTAGTCCAAAAAAATAAAAAAATATTAATAGTATTAGCCCACCTCAGCCTCCCACCCAAATATGAAACGTGTTAAAATTGTGATGCGTAGCAGGATTGGAGATGAATTTCTTACTGATTGCATGACCATCAACCTTGAACGGGAGCTTGTTTGAAAAATTGACTTAGAGTCTATTATTGACGAATTCGAGTCTTTAAAGACTCGTCGAGCACAACTTAGATAGATATTTTGTAATATTTGAATTCAAATATTTATCTATATTACGCTATAATTTTTTATATTTTTTTGCTTAAGAAATTTCGTTATTAAATTTATGTTTAATATTAGCCCACCCCAACTAGCAATCCTGGATTTGACCTTGGTAGGCATGGACCTAGTGTATATTAATTGCCTCGACTGAATTTTGTTTGGTATTCTATAGAAGTGATTTTTCCTTTTTTGAATTATATATCTATGAAATGTTAATTATATACTTGATTAAATCAATGGGACAATTTAAAGAGAATTTAATTGAATTGAATAATTAAATTCCCTAAATTTCAAAACTACTCCAAATGACTTCAAATTATGATATACCAAAAATCATGCCAAGATCATTACTAATATCAAGTTAAATACTTAATTAAATCAATGGAGTAATTAAATAGAAATTGATTAAATTAAATAATTAATTTCTCTAAATTTCAAAACTTATCCAAATGACTTCAAATTAATATATATCAAAGATCATGTCATGGTCACCACATATATCACCACATATATCAAGTCAAAAGCTTAATTAAATCATTAGAACCATTAAATGGAATTTAATTAAATAAAATAATTAACTTCCCTAGATTTCAAAACAAGTCCAAATGATTCCAAGTTTATATATATTAAAGATCAAGTCAAGACCTTTAATAATATCATGTCAAAGCATATTTTCATGCAAGGTACAACTATATACAATTCAAAAATTCATATATAAACATGCATACAAGTTATATAAACCCCAAAAGCACATAAAATACTAAGTTTATAAACATGAAACACCCCCTACCTCACTAGAGGATTGTTCCTCTAGAATTCAAGGCAAACTTAGGAATTTCAAAATTCCTTCAAGGGTATGTAGAGAAGGATGAGGGGAAGCTAAAGTCGTTCAAGACTTAAGCTCAAATGTTAAGGGAAAGTGGCTTAAAATCAAGGTTTAAGGCTAGGTTAAGGCTTACAACAATGGAGGCAAGAGAGGGAAAATGAGGAAAAAGACTAAGCCAAAAAGAAAATGTGTATTCCTCTACTCACATTTGTTGGTCAAAGACACAGACTCACACACTACCTCTCTCACACAATCAAGGCCCTCCACTTGTCACCATCCAAAGTCCTCTCTTAAGGCTTAATCCTAAGCCTACACATGTCAACCATCTAAGCCAACAGGTGCACTTATCCTAGGCTAATAAGTGGGTGAATCTCTACCCTCCACATATCATCATCCAAGGTATCCAAGTGTCTCCACACAAATGTCTACAAGTGGATCAATGAGAGTGTGACACTTGTCACACATTCCAGAAATTACAAAAGGTCCCTTTACCAGATATCTAGCAAATTAAATTACAAAATGGTCCCTAAAACAAATATCCCAAGAAATTTTAATTATGAAAAATACCATGTAAAACAAGAATGTATCCAAAGAAACTATGCATCCATGCCCTTTACGCAAAAAGTAAACAAGTAACATGTTTTTTTACAAAAGTAAAACTACGTATTTCATAGAGATCAAATACCATGAATGCATGCAAAGCCGGGATCAAATTCGAGCACAAAAAGTGAAGTTATGCAAAAGGAAACGATAACCGTGAAAAGGACAAAAAGGGAAAAATGCCGGAAAGAAAAAATGTGAAGATGTCACGATCCTCACAAGCACGTTACAACATCAAGCAAAAGTAGTGTCGAAAACTATTTCCAACACTCAACACAACCTGAAGGAACAAAACCCGAACTCGGAAAAGAAAAAAAATTTCAAAGGAAAAAGGAAAATCCGTAAAAATGGAAAAGAAGGGAAGGAAAGGACCGGGTCATTACAACCTACACTCCTTAAAGAGATTTCGTCCCCTAAATCAGGAATATCTCGAGGAGAACCGAACAAGGACTAAAAATAAGCTCACACTAAGGAAACAGATCATAAAGCGCTAAAGGACAATTCCAAAAGCTTCAAGATCAAACGAAAAACACGAAACCACGAACCGTGAGACAACTCTCCGAATGAAAAGACATGCCAACTCAAGTTCTCTCACCAAAAGGGAACCAAGATAACCATACTCGGAATCAAGGCATCTAACTAGAAGTGACATGGCAGTACATATAATGATTAGAACCTGCCCACACGTACTCAAATGTGTGGTAGTGAAGATGCAAGAAACTCCTTCTATTCTTTCTCTCTCTAGAATTCTTACACCTCAACCCGAATCAAGATCCCCCTCCTCTTCATTCCAACTCCTATTTATAGATATTTACAAGATATTTACAAGATATTTACTAATTGCTGGACCTGGGCCTATTCCTCAGTAAGCCCTGGTCACTCTTGATGGGCTTACTCCCGCTCGGCCCATATGGCAGTGTCTTTTTATGGGCTGACCCAGCTGTTCGGACTGAAGGTTGTGTTTTGCGAGTCGGACCTGGCCCATGTCATCCAGGGCCTCCTCAACTGCCCCCATAATTGCCCCTTATTTAATAAGGGGTAATTATTGATGGCGTCTCATCATGACGCTGACGGCTCGAGATAACCACGTGGGGGAGCGAACGGTCAGATCCAGAATCAATGTTCCGGGGTTCGAGGGATTTCTTGCCTTCCCGACGCTTCGGCCCTCGGGCCCCCTTGCCTATATAATGCTCTCGAATTCCACTTCACTTCCCTTTACCGTCTCCATCATCAGCCAAATCTCCCTCTTTCTAGAACTGTGCTAAGCCTTTTCCGGTGAAATCCTTCGAGAGTCATTCTCCCAGCGATCTTGCAGTCCTCCGAGGTTAGTTTCGTTCTTTTTACTTTCGGCAGGCTTCCATTTTCCCTCTTTTAGATTCTTCTTGCACTTCCACCATGGTTGTAGATCTGGGTGTCCTTCGTATGAGACTTAGGCTTCCTGACAACATCGTAGTTAGGGTTTGCCCCCAAGACGTTAATATTACGACCGGCGCCGGCCTCCTGCCCGGCGAAGTCTTATTCACAAACCTTCAACTGAATGTTGTTAGGTTCCCTCTGCACCCTTTCTTTAGTTACGTCTTCAACAGATTGGGGATATCCCCTCTGCAGGTCAACCCCAACTTCTTTAGGATCATATCTGTTATGCTCTTATTGATGCGTGACAGAAATCTGGACCTTGACCTCATAGACCTCCTTCTGTGCTATAAGGTCAGTAAGATCCGTACTAACGAGCCCTTCTACCACCTCTACCCGTTCGAGAAGATGTCCATATGCACTGACACAATAAAATCTGAAAAGGGTTGGAGGGATAGCATAGTGGGTATTAGTGGGGCTTGGTCTTCGCCGGCTGCAGAGGATTACCCTATCCCGAGCGCCTTTGGTGTCTGCTCTGTCTCCTCCTATAAAAAATTCAAATCCCATAAACACGACTGCCCCTGTGAAACATGCGTTCCTCGTTTTTGCACTTACTTATGCCGCTCCTTGGGAATACCTTGTGATGACTTGAGCTACAGTGTTTGCAGGGATAGGATTAACTACTTGAAGAGATACGTTCTGAACGATATTCCTTCCTACTCAGATCTCCTCACTTCAGACAACCTCTTTGCGCTCTCATCACTCGGCTACAATATGAGCAGACTGCAGATTCCCTCTTTTGGCAGGAGGAAAAATACTCCCCCAGTCATTCCTGCTGCTGGGGCGACCTCCTCTCCAGCGTCGGCTTCTTCTTCAGCCACCATATCTGACACTGTCCCGAGCGCAGTGGCTACTAACCCTGCTGCCAGCGCCCCTGCGGCCAACCAGAACGCGCCCTCCCCAGCTACCATAGCTCCTGCTGCTGCGGGGGGCGGTCGGGACAAAGAGCGAGGCAAAAGGCCTCATCCTGACAGTGAAATCGACCCTGAGGAGGAGCCTCTTATTAGAAGGACCCGAGTCTCTGGGCCGGGTACTCTCTTGCACCGAGCGATCAGAGCTCCTTCTCACTCTGGGCCTCCTGCAGCTGGTGGCTCTGCTTCTGCTTCAGGCCCCCCTTCTATCCCCAGCTTGCCGCCATGGGCCCCTCGGTACACTCGAACGGATGGGACGTTCGTGAAACCGAACGAGACCATGCTGAAGGATGGCCAGACCGCTATGGCCTACTACAGGAGCATGTGGACTCCGAAGGACATTGAGGCGGCAAAGGGCCTTTCCCAGAAGGACGTGTTCAGTCGCTTTCCCCAATCTGCTATGGAGGTGACTTTTATTTTCTAACTCATGAATTCTCTTATATTACTTGGTCTTGCCTTCTCCCGTTCTGACTATTGGTTTAACCGTTCTTATTGTGCACCTATGCAGACATTGTTTGGGATGATGGCCATGCAGAAGCAGGTGGAAATGGGGAACGCCAGGGCCCGAAAGTATTCTGACAGCCTGGAGGTGGCTAATAAAGAGAACGACCTCCTTGCCATGAAGAATACCGAGGTGCTGGTTCGGCTTGACAAAGCCGAGCAAGAGAGAGATGTCCTGAAAAAGGAGAATGATTCCCTTCAGGATGAGAAGGACGCCCTCCAGCTCGAGAAGAGCGTCTGGCAGACTGAGCAGGAATCACTCAGAGAAGAGAAGGCAGAACTCCAACGTCTTCTAGCTGATGAACAGTCTGCTCGGATGGCTTTTGAAAAAAGAGCTCTGGACGAGCGTACCGCTCTGATCGACGTTATCAGCAGAGTGGGTGGTGGGATGCTGGCCCTTCATGCTCGGTTCTCCAGGGTCGGTGCTCTTCGGTATGCTCAAGGATTCCGGGAAGGCTTCGCCGACCGGGTTCCGGATGAGGGACAGACCAGCTCCACTCCGGATGAGGTAGACAAGGATCTGGGGATCGAGCCTCTGGGGGTCTATGTCGACCCAGAACCCACCGAAGCGGAGCGTATATTTGATGAGTGCCAGGACATCGCATCCTCAAGGATCATCACAGCTCCTCCTACCACTCTGCCACTGACCGCTCCCCAATCGTCAACCGTGGCTCCCTCTGTAGCCACTGCTGACGCTGAACCCCAGCCGAACGACTCAGTTATTCACCTGGATTCCCCACCTCATGAAGGTGAGGCGGCTGATGGGGCCGAGGAGGCGAGTCGGCAGGACCAGGATGCTGTTGGTACTGAGGCGTCTAGCTAGGGCTCCTTCGAATTCTTCCAGTTCATATCTTCTTGTAATGATGGACACCTCTCTTTTGTAAACTAAATGTTCAATATTAATGAAATGGCCGAACTCTTTTTCTCTATGTGTTGTGCTCTGTTCAACTTATCTTCAGTACATATATATCTTTTCTCTCTTTTTCTTTTTATATTAGTTTTGCTGTGTGTTTGTACGGCAAGTGCCTGGCGCTCGGCTAGAATGCCACTTGCCACTTGGCTTTAAATTTTTAGCAAGTGTCTGGCGTTCGGCTTATAGTGCCAGCTGCCACTTATCTTGCTTAAGTGCCTGGCGCTCGGCTAGAATGCCACTTGCCACTTGGCTTTCAATTTTTAGCAAGTGTCTGGCGTTCGGCTTATAGTGCCAGCTGCCACTTATCTTGCTTAAGTGCCTGGCGCTCGGCTAGAATGCCACTTGCCACTTGGCTTTCAATTTTTAGCAAGTGTCTGGCGTTCGGCTTATAGTGCCAGCTGCCACTTATCTTGCTTAAGTGCCTGGCGCTCGGCTAGAATGCCACTTGCCACTTGGCTTTCAATTTTTAGCAAGTGTCTGGCGTTCGGCTTATAGTGCCAGCTGCCACTTATCTTGCTTAAGTGCCTGGCGCTCGGCTAGAATGCCACTTGCCACTTGGCTTTCAATTTTTAGCAAGTGTCTGGCGTTCGGCTTATAGTGCCAGCTGCCACTTATCTTGCTTAAGTGCCTGGCGCTCGGCTAGAATGCCACTTGCCACTTGGCTTTCAATTTTTAGCAAGTGTCTGGCGTTCGGCTTATAGTGCCAGCTGCCACTTATCTTGCTTAAGTGCCTGGCGCTCGGCTAGAATGCCACTTGCCACTTGGCTTTCAATTTTTATAGTAGACCATTGGAAAAGAAAATTCTTCTCTTCTTTTTTTGTAAATTCCGGTAACTTGCTCATTCATATGTATTTGATTAACAACAAATAACATCCAATTAAAACCAGAACTTAGCTTCTATTGATAGTACCTCTTCAGAGACGTGGCGTTCCAGGGCTTGTTGACCAACTTTCCCGCCATGGTTTCCAACGTATATGCCCCTTTGCCAATGACTTCTGCAATTCTGTATGGGCCTTCCCAGGGTGGCATCATTTTTTTGACCATCCCCACCTTTCTTTTCAGAACCAGATCGCCCGGGGCAAAATCCCTGTGTTTTACTCTCTTATTGTGACTATTCGCCAGCACTTGCTGATACGATGCTAGCCTTATAGCCGCTGCGTCCCTCCTTTCGTCTATCATGTCGAGGTTCAATCTTAACATCTTGTCGTTCTGATCTCGACTCCATGCTAAGCTTCTGATAGTGGGGACTAAATGCTCAACCGGTATAACTGCTTCGGTACCATACGCCATCGCGAACGGGCTCTCCCCAGTCGGCCGCCTTGGGGTGGTTCTGTAAGCCCATAGAACGTTCGGGAGTTCATCCAACCACTTCCCCTTATGATCTTCCAGCTTCTTCTTAATGCAGGCGAAAATGGTTCTGTTTGTGATTTCTGCTTGTCCGTTAGCCTGAGGATGACTTACTGCAGCCAACTTCTGGTTGATTCCATACTCCTCCAGCAGCTTTCTTACTTGCCTGCTGTCGAGGTTTGTGCCATTGTCCATGACTATTGTTCTGGGAACACCGAAGCGGCAGATAATGTTGTTCCAGATAAATCGTCTCACCTGAGTCTGAGTCACGCTAGGATACGGTTCTGCCTCCACCCATTTAGTGAAATAATCCGTGGCCAGTAACACATACTTGTTCTGAGCTCTTGCAGTTGGCAGAGGACCGACCACATCCATCCCCCATTGCGCGAAAGGCCACGGCGAGGCCATTACGTGCAATTCTTCAGGTGGTTGGTGGATCATTGGTCCATATCGTTGGCACTTATCGCACCTTCGAGAGAACTCCTCCGCATCTCTTGACATGTTTGGCCAAAAATACCCTTGTGTCATTGCTTTATGCGCTAACGATCTTCCCCCAGAATGATTGCCACACACACCCTCATGAATAGCTCGCAATACCTGCTGCGATTCCGCGGGGGTGACACATTTCAAGTACGGGCCAGAATAGGACCTTCTGTACAGCTGGTTCCGCACGATGGCGTACTTGGCAGCATTCTTTTTGAGTTTCCTAGCTTCATCCCTTTGCATAGGCAAAACGCCATCTCGAATATAGGTAATGATTGGGTCAATCCAACTCGGTTCATACGGTATGACGTTGACTTGCCAAGGGTCCGAGACCATCGGTTCTTCGAAAATGGACGGCTGGGTCACTATTCCCACTGGAATCACCCTCGCCAATGTTTCACCACAACTTGAAGCACTGCATGCTAAACGGTCTGCATCTGCATTCTGTTCCCTCGGCAACTGTATGAATTCAATCTTTGCAAAGTCCTTGGCTCTACGCAGAACGGCAGAACGGTATGCCCCCATCATGTCATCCTTGGTTGCGTACTCACCATTTACCTGCCGAACAATCAGCTGCGAGTCACTATACACTGTCAAACTTTTGATCTGTAGCTCTTTGGCCAACTTTAATCCATTTAGCAACGCCTCGTATTCCGCTTCATTATTGGTGGCTCGGAACTCAAGTCTGAGTGCTTGGCTCAAGGAAGTACCTTCTGGGGTTTGCAGTTTGATCCCAATCCCAGCCCCCGTCGGGTTAGAGGAGCCATCCACAAAAAGTTTCCAAGAGCCGCTTCTAAGGTCCTCTTCCGTATCTTCGGCATCACATTCTAGTAGGAAATCGGCCACCGCTTGCCCTTTAATAGCTGTTCTCGGCTCGTACGTTATGTCAAATGAACTCAACTCTATGGCCCACTTTGTCATTCTGCCCGAGAGCTCTGGCTTGTGCATGAGCGTTCTGATTGGGAAAGTTGTTAGAACAGCTATGGGGTGGGATTCAAAATAATGCCTTAACTTTCTTTTTGCATTTACAAGTGCAAGTACCACCCGTTCGGCCTTTGAGTATCTTTTTTCTGCCTCCATCAGTGTCTTGCTTACATAAAATACTGGGTATTGCACCCCTTCCTTGCAACGAATCAGAACGGCACTCGTCGCGACACCAGATACTCCAAGATATAGAAATAACTTTTCTTCCGGTTCTGGGGCTGACAGGACTGGCGGATTCTGCATATATTGCTTCAAATGAGTCAATGCCTGTCGTTGCTCATCCCCCCAGACCTGCCTTCCATGGCTCCGAATCGTGTCAAAGAATGGTTTGCAGTGGTCTGACAACTTTGAAATAAATCGACTTAATGCAGCTATTCGTCCTGTTAGGGCTTGCACCTCTCTGATCGTCTTTGGCTCGGCATTCTTAATCAAAGCCTCTGCTTGAGCGGGGCTAACTTCGATGCCCCTGCGGTTGACCACGTGTCCCAGAAACTGCCCGGAACTCACACCGAACGAGCACTTGGTCGGATTGAGCCTCATCCCATATCGCTTTAGTACATCAAATACCTCTTGCAGATGCTTCAGATGATCATCCTTTTTCCTACTTTTCACCACCATGTCATCAATATAGGCTTCGACAATCTTACCCATTTGATTCTTAAAAACTTTGCTGACAAGTCGTTGATAAGTTGCTCCCGCATTCTTTAATCCAAAAGGCATAACCTTGTAGCAGTACGTTCCTCGCTCGGTGACAAAAGAAGTTTTTTCTTCATCTGCGGGGTCCATAGGAATCTTATTATAACCTGAATATGCGTCCAGAAAGGTTAAACGCTCATACCCCGTGGTGGCATCCACCATTTGATCAATCTTAGGCAACGGGAAACTGTCCTTCGGGCAGGCTTTGTTTAAATTGGTGAAATCAATGCATACGCGCCATTTCCCATTTTTCTTCTGCACCACAACGACGTTGGACAACCACTCAGGGTAGTGCACCTCTCTGATAAATCCCGCATCAAGCAGCCTATCAACTTCTTCCGTTATGATCTGATTACGTTCTGGAGCAAATCTTCGCTGCTTCTGTTTCACTGGTTTGAAATTAGGATTGACATTCAGGGAATGACAGGAGACGGAAGGACTAATTCCAGGCATGTCGAGATGACTCCATGCAAATACGTCGACATTGTGGGATAAGAAATCCACTAGCTCTTGCTGCTCTTCTCTGGTCAGTCTTATACCCACTCTGGTAGTTCGTTCTGGCCTGGACTGATCGATCTGCACATCCAGAAGGGGCTCCTCGGTCAAGTCGGCTGACTCCTCCACCCTATTCTGCTCGAGTGGAGGTTCCTGTAATTGCTATCTGGGGCTTGTCGACCGGACGGGCGCCTTTCCCTTCCCTGCTTGCTTTAGTGTGACGGAATAACACTCTTTGGCTGCGACCTGATCCCCCCGAATGTCTATCACTTTATCTCCATCGGGCCCGAGGCACCTCATGACCTGATGCAGAGTTGAGGGTACACCTCGGACTCTGTGAATCCATCCTCTTCCCATCAGGAGATTATACGAGGGGTGAATTTCCACAACCACAAAAGTTTCCATAAGAGCTCGCTCTGCAGCTTGAACTTCTACTTCCACCATCCCGACGGGTTCCACCCTCTTCCCATCGAACCCTAATAAGGGATTTCCGGTGGGCTTGAGCCTCTCTGGTTTAATGTCGAGCCTGTCAAATGTGTCCCTTGGCATAACATTCGCACTGCTCCCAGGATCGATCAGAACTCTGCGCACCAAGCACTCTGCCACTGTCAAACTGACTACCAACGGGTCGTCATGAGGCAGTTGGACACGCTGCAGGTCTGTCCAGTCGAACTTTATCTGCATTGACGGGCTCTGTTGGTGTAGAGTGGTCACATTGCCGACCCTTTTCTTCATCTGTGCCTGCCGCAGGCGCACCCGTAGCAGCTCATCTGGCTCTTCACTAGGCTCGGGTCGACCATGGATAGCATTGATTATACGAACTGGTTGCGA